ATAAACCCCAAGCCTTAAACCCTGAATCCCCGACAAGAACTAACTTCAGACCTGGCTTTAGGTACTTGGGTTTAGCATCATAGTAGTAGTAGTAGTAGTAGTCGTCGTCGTCGTCGTCGTAGTAGTAGTAGTAGTAGTAGTAGCAGCAGCAGCAGCAGCAGTAGCAGTAGCAGTTATGTGGGTTCATAACCCGAAATCCTAGATCCGAATCCCTCAGTGTCCGAGGGGGGGGGGGTGATTCTTCGGTGAGATACCCTATAAACCCTGAACCCTGAACCCTAAACCCTGAACCCCTGAACCCTGAAACCCTGAACCCCTGAATCCTGAACCCTAAACCCTAAAACCCGAAATCCTAAACCCCAAACCCTGAACCCTAAACCCCAAAACGCTAGACCCTTCAAGCCTTAAATGGGCAGCCTGCAGAAGAAACCCGAAACCCTGAATCCCGAACACGACACCCAGAAGGAAAACCTCTGAGGCCGAACCGAAAAATTGGTAGGGTTTAGGGTTTTAGGGTTTAGGGTCTAGGACTTGAGGGTTTTAGGATTTAGGGCTACCGTGCAACAGCCTGAGACTCAAACCCACGACAAAGAAAAACCTCAAAGCCGTAAAGCCCCATAAACCCTAAACCCTAGCCCTAGAAACAAGAATAATAGCCTAAAATCTCTGAAAAAACTCTAAAGCCCCAGAACCCTGAAAAACGAACCCTTGAAAAGGAGCCCTTCAACAGGAAGTTTAAAGGACCCCTTTAAAGGCACCCCCGACTAGAGGAATCCTTACAGCAGCCCTTGGGCTCCCCAGGAGGCCTGCGAATGGTCCCTGGGGCCGCCAGGAAGTGGTCGGCTCGGCTGTGGCAAAGATCGAAGGGTCAACTTCTCCCACCTGCGGGCCGCGTAGGGCTTTGGGTTTAGGTTTTAAGGTAGGGACTACTGCCAGGCCAATGGCTATACTATTTGGGTACATGGTCGCCTAGTTTATCCCCTGACCCGGAACTCCAATCTCAAACCTGTGGCCCAAAAGACCTACCGTTTAAGCACCAATATATAGAAGCCCCTAAACCCTAAACCCTAAACCCTAAACCCTAAACCCCTAAACCCGAAATGAGGAACCCTGTAGGTCTTTCCCCCTTATGGGATAGTATCCTGATAGGCCCCTTGAAAGGCTCTCTTCACGGATCCCTCAAAGGAACCCTAAACCACTACATAGGACCCCCTCAAGAAAGCCTCCGACAAACCACAAACCTCGATAAGTCTCGGAATTAAGGCATGATAATGTACGTTTAGGGTTTAGGGTTTAGGGTTCAGGGACGGGCCTATATGATTACCTATACTATTCTGGGGGTTCCTGATTATAGTGATAGTGGCCCCACAACCCTAGTCTATTTATGAAGGCCTCTATATTACATCTAAGTTCTAAGGGACCCCCCTAAACCCGAAACCCCTTTGGGGAATGCCTTGCCTCCGGAGGAAACGTCGGCAGCGAAGGCGGCGGCGTCGGGGGTGGATCCGTGACCGGAACCCGAAACGCATCCTGTCTTTAGGGCTTATAGGGTTTCGGGATTAGAGTTTAGGGTTTAGGGGTTTAGGGGTTTAGGGTTTAGGGGTTTAGGGGTTTAGGGGTTTAGGGGTTTAGGGTTTCGGGATTGGAGTTTAGGGTTCAGGGGTTTAGGGTTTAGGGTGCAGGACTCTGGTTTCGTATTGAACCGACAGCGACTGCGACAGCGAAAGCCTGCCGTTTGCAGGCGTGGGCGTTTCCTGCTCATGGGTTTGGCATATAGTATATTAAAGGTATGATAAGGAACCCCAATAAATAAAGCACTATATACTGTAAATATTATATAACGTTTACAGTATAAGGAACCGCAGTAAATACTGTTATTATTTTGTAATTACATGGCTTTGCGGGTTTAGGCGTTTGGTTTCTGGGCTTCGGGTTTGCAAAGGTTGTGGGGTTTAGGACTTTAAGCTTTGCAGGTGCAAAGGCTTAAGGGATTGGCAATGGAGTTTTAACGACTTGGGATTTAAAGCCCTAAACCCTAATCAACAACTCAATGGCAATCATTCTGCCCTTATTCGCCCCGCTTTGAAACTCTGCTCTGGGCTGCAATCGTTATGTCCGCTATGTTTGTTGGCGCTACACTCTAGAAACCCACAGTTCGCGACCAAAGCCATAAAAGACTTTCGGAGATTGAAGTCAATGGTGTGGCGGCATGAGCCTGGGTGGGAGAGAGCGTACGAGCGCCATCGCGAACATGTCGGGCGGAAGTGGCCGGGGTGGCATCCGCCATAGTGCGCAACGGATCGGCGCGGGATTCGCCTGAGTATTGCCTGCGTCTCATCCTCGGCATGGACAGCCATCTCGTCTGTCCCTTGCCGAGCCTCGGGGTGCTGGCGGAAAGTGCTTCTGATGCCATCCACTGCTTGGGGGAATGCACTTCTATACCCTGAACCCTAAACCTCTAAACCCCAAACCCCTAAACCCCCAAACCCTAAACCCCTAAACCCCTAAACCCCTGAACCCCTAAACCCTGGAAACCCCATTTGGAAACCTAGCAGGTCGGAGACGTATGCCGATGTGGCCGGCTCCTCTCTGGACGGGCTTAGAGCATGAGAAACGGTAGAATGAGTCCATACTTAGAGGCTCTATTGTAGTTGCATTTTGTGCCTAATATTTAGGATCCTATATTATAAAGTAATCCCAAAAAGGAACTGCAGTAGAGCCCGTGAATGCACTGCTTTGCTAGAGCCTCGGATATGCAGTCGCCGCCACTACCGATGCCGCACTTTTTGGACGGCTTTACGAGGTGGTCAAGGACCTCGACGGCAAACTATACTAGAACGACGGATGATCACACTTGGATGCTGCAGTACAACAGCATCAGAAACCAAAATGTCTGACACCTGTCGCTCTGCTTGGTCGCACTAGTCACTATTCTGATTGCATTTCACTAGCTGGGCTCGTTGTGGTTACTATACTCTCGAACACGAAATGCGAAACATACACAAACATTCAATACCGCATCTTGGGCTCGCAACGCGAGTTCAGCCACTACACCAAACCTTAAACCCCGAAGCCAACTCCTGAGCCCTGAACTCTATAACCTCAGATCCGCAAATCTTTAGACACTCAACTCCAAAGCAAAAACGCAAACAACCTAAAACCCTAAACCTGTTTCAAGCCCTAAACCCTAAACCGTCAAGCCTGAAAACTACAAACCCTGAACCTAAATCGCGACACCCTGGCTTCGAACTGCTTCAGGGTAGGAAATGGAATTCTTGAGGGTTGAGGGTTCAGGGTTTGGGGTTCGAGGTTTAGGATGAGGCTGAGGAGTACCAATAAGCTTCATTGTAATTCTTGTTCGTGACTTATATTCAGGATCATATGACGTAATTCCAAAAAGGAACCACAATAGAGTCTATGGGCAATATGAGGGCCTCAATACTTAGAAAGGGGTTTGGCGGTACCTTACACTATAATTATAATAGGGACCCCCCCCCCCCGGCAAACCCTATTCTAATTATTCAGGCTCCTACGTTCGTTTGAAAGATTCACGGTTCAGGGCCAGGGATTGGGATCCGGGAGTGTGGTCTTAAGCTGCCGGAGGTTGGTTTGGGGCGGAGAAGAGCGCTAGATTGCGAAGGAGCTTCGAACAAACTCATGTCCCCGGTTGTGGCTAAGGTTTAGGGTTCAGGGTTTAGGGGTGTAGGGTTTAGGTTGTTAGGGTTTAGGGCATCTTTCTGACTCAGCTTGTCGTTTTGGCATCCTTTGTTTAAAAAATCCCTGCTCTTCGCGGATACTTAGCCAAGACCGTTGAGCCCTGAAGCCTTGAACGCTTGACCCAGGTCCTAGACCCTGCTTTCTATACCGTAATTAGGGGCCCTTTTGCAAGGATTCCCTAAACCCTATACTGAACATAAACCCTAAACCTTATGCTAAACCTAAACCCTAAACCCTGAACCCAAACAACTCCTATACCGGCTCCCGTCTGCCCGACCGGGCCTCATTGGAAGAAACCACCTGCTCCAAAAGAAACTTCCGGGCTTCGGCTGCATCCCACATGGGTAGTTCTCTAATTAGGGTCCTTTTTACACGAGGGTTCCGTACTATATTGTGGACCCAAAACGGGACCCACATTTAGAGAACTACCCTATGCACAAAAGTCAAACACCCTTCGTCTGTCTTGTCGCAAGGAGATCCCTGCTTCGGTAGAGGCTTAGATAGCATAGTCTCGGGGCTCACGGCTTCTGGGAGAGAGGTTGACCTGGGCATTTGGCGGGATTTGATGGTTGAATGGCGTAATGTAGGGGCCTTAATATAACTTTAATAGGAACCCCCAAAATAGTATAGCTAATTATTTAGGCCCCTACATTAGGATCATGTAGCAGTTGGGATTGAACGGTTTGGGTTGTGGGGCGAGGGGCGGAAGGTCAAGAGTCGTAAGGGCTTCTGCTTTGACCATCACCGTAAACTACCTTAACCTACTTGTTTAGGGTTTAGGGTTTAGGGTTTAGGGTTTAGGGTTGCTATAACTTCCTACAAAGAGGGTAAGCTTTGGCATTTGAGGAAAAGCTCTGAACCCTGCCGCTTCGGTGCGCGTTAAATGCCTCATGAGGGTCCGACAGGAGGAGACATTCCGGAGGATCGCCCATAGGCCCTAAAGTAGTTCCTTTTGGGGGGTTCATAATATATAGAATCCTATAAGGTAACCAACCCCCAAAAGGAAATACTATGGGGCCTTTGGGTAGACCCTAAAATCCGTAAACCTTGCCGCAAGCATGAAACCAGTTTCGGGTTCAACAGCTTTCACATGGGAGCCTAAATTCACTAGAATTGGGTTTGGGGCGGAGATGCTGCCACGATTATGTGATAATTCAACTCTCCAGACCAAAGCCCTGCATGCCATGGCTCACCTCGACCCTCCGGCGGTTCATAAGAACATGCCCTGAGGGTTCAGGGTCTGGGGGTTTTGGAGCTTTCGAGGCCCAAATCCCCAAACCCTAAACCCTAAGCCTACAATTATTGGGGTTTAGGTTCGGGTTCGGCTTCGGGCTTCGGGATTCTGGTAAAACGCTAAACCCCAAACCGCCAAACCCCTANNCCCCCCCCCCCCCATCCTCTTTTCTCCAGTGCTCACCACAAATTCCTTCAAAGGGTTTAGGGCCTTTCGGCCCCGAAGGACACCCAGAGGACGGAATCAACCCAAAACCCGAAAACCTAAACCCTAAACCCTAAACCTTAAACCCTAAACCCTAAACCCGAAACCCTAAACCCTAAACCCGAAAACCTTACCGAAACCAAAGGTTCTGAAATGGCGGACCCTTACTCGGGAAGCCGTGAGAAGTGTAGGGTGCAATCAGAAGGATATCAAGTTTTAACTATGATGTTTAGGGTTTAGGGTTGTGGACTATCCCTAACCTCCCAAGTACCTACTCTATAGGGTACTGGAGCCCCTAGGGCCCTATATACTAGGTACCTGGGGGGTTAGGGTAATGATAAGGAGCCCCGAAACCCTAAACCCTAAACCCTAAACCCTAAACCCTAAACCCCAATAAAGCCCTTCAGCTCTCTACTATGGGGGCCTTTAGTTCAAAGCTTAGGGGTCTAGGGTTTAGGGTTTAAGGTATAGGGTTGTTTAGGGTATAGGGCTTTGGGTTTAGGGGTTTAGGGTGTAGGGTTTAGGGCTTAGGGTTTAGGATAGCTAGCATGGGGTTTTGGGGTGAGTTGCAGGGTCATATCGGGGCCTTACCGATTAGACCAGGGTTTTCGTACCTGTTTTGGGGGGTTCCTTATTATAGTTCTAGTATGATATACCCCAAAGCCCTATTCTAATTATTAAGGCCCCTACATGAAACCCTAAACCGTCTTCAAGGCTCAGGGTTCTAGGTCTAGGCTTCCGGGTTCAGGTTTCAGGGCCATGGGCACCTTCCGACATTCTGAACCCTTTCTACTCTCCTCACATCGAAGATTCCGGAAACCTTAGACTATGACCATGTGCATCCTGAAGGGTTTAGAGAGTTTAAGGCTTAGGGAATTCAAGTTGTCCGGGACGATCCTTGAGGCCTAAGTTGTTGACATTTCTTAACCCTAGGCCCTAGACTCAGGAAATACCATAAACAACCGACAACGCTGAACCGTCAACCCGAAATCCTGATCTCTAACCTAAGCCTTAAGCCGAGCGATGTCTCGGAAATCATCACCGAGGGCTCGCCGAATGCGCTTGTCGGGCACGCAGTCCTTGGCTTCTTGCCAGGATGAGGGCTGGGCTCCCCAAACTACCCTCCAATATACCCTAAATACGCACAGTTAACTTTGGGGGTCCTGGTGGGTTCAGGGTTGAGGGTTTAGGATTCAAGGTGCAAGGTGTGCTGAAATTTGAGGTCAAGGGTTTAACTGAATACCTGAAACCCTAAACCCTAAACCCTAAACCCTAAACCCTAAACCCCTAAACAGTTCGAAGCCGCAGGCTCAGGAGTGTAGCCGGTGGCTTAGGTTTACCTTAAGGACCAAATTACCCTTAAAAGTAGGGGGCCTTGGAGCAATGTATGGTATATCAACCTTAAAACCTGTTTAGGGCCCGTTTTCCCTAAACCCTAAACCCTAGAACCCCTTTGGGGCCCGTTTTTCCCTAAACCCTAAACCCTTAAAGCCCTTTTGGGGCCCGTTTCGTCTTTCAGGCTGGAGTATGAAGGAAGCAGCGGTCTACACCTGACCGCTTCAAGGGCGGCGTTGTGTACCGCAACCGCGCAAACCCGATAACATAGGAACGCTCCTGAAAGTTCCGGATTCTGCTGACTGTGAGAGCAAGCTGAATCTCCAGTATTATATGTCTATACATATATACATGTATGTTTTATGTATATTAATATAGCTCTTGAAAGTTCAGGACTAATTTAGGGACGCCCTCCATAACCCTAAGCTCTCAGACAAACGGCCTGTCGCAAAGGGGCTCCCTTCCGGGTAGGTGCCCTCTTTGCAGCTTCTCGAACAGAGCAGCAAGCAGAATACCCAATATCTCAGTCATAGCATTTGAACTTGCAAGACGGGGAAAACCACCCTCCACCACTACACCCAGAAGGACCCCTCCGAAACCCTAAATGCTGCCCCAGAAGCTAGGAGAGCGCTGTAGCTAATGACATCAGGAGACATCTTCGCATCCAGCATGGTGGAGTGCAGTCGCAAGGCCAGCTGCCAAAGCTTTCCTTGACCGCATTATTTACCCGGATTGATTTTTGGAGGAGCATCCAGGGCAGTAACTAGTGCCCGCAAGTATTACACAACTTCATTACTTCAAAGCAGCTGGTTGGTGTAAACGCGCGCTGCATGCATGCCAGCAGCTAGTGCTCACACACATCTGCATGTGTGTATGTGTGTGCCGGTGTGTGCGCGAGTCTGTGAGGGTGTCTAACTGTCAGCCTGCCTCGCTCTCTCACTCTCTCAGCCTTTCTCTCTCCCCGACATACATAATCAAATGTCATCAGCCTAGCCGGCCAACATGCTGCCCGGAGTCCCCGCGTGCAAGCGGTCATGGCCGCATTGTAGCTGACGACGTCCACGGCGACTTGGGCACGTGGCATGGCGTGAAGAAGGTTGATGGCCTGCTGCCAGCAAAGACCTCGAAAGCCTCGGCCGGTTCTCAGAATAGCTATGACGGCTTAGCTTGCAGATATTTGTACGAGGGCTGCTGTTGCTGCTACTACACGCCTACGACCTCTACCGGCACATGCTGTTGCTGGCACGGGGAACACTAGTTATAGAGTAGACTAATAATCTGATAGCCTGACTGTGGTTCTATTCCCAGTGGATTCAAAGTGTGAGCCGCTTTGCGAAAAACGTCGAAAACGTCGAATTACGAAGCCTCCGAAACTGTCAGAATCTTGCTCAAGAGCTGGCGAAGAGCAGGAAGTGATGCAAGCATTCAAACAGACAGTATCCGGGGTCACCTGGGAGTTTCCGAAAATTGGGGGACCTTATTTGGGGGACCTTATAACATTGATCCTACTATTTAGGGTACTATATCAGAGTCGCCTATTTTCGGAAACCCCCACCTTGGCTTGCCACAAGGACTCCCAGATCTGAATCGAAGCCTCCCAGCGATGGGCTCTCTCGCAGCAACTCATGGCCAAGCTGTAGGCATAGAGGTCCTGGGTTAAGGGTTTTAGGGTTTTAGGGTTTTAGGGTTTAGGGCTTAGGGGAGAGGGTTTAGGGGTTTAGGGTTCAGGGTTCGTTTGGGGTTTCGGGAACTGAGTTTATGTTAAGAGAAAAAGACAACCATTATTATGTGCAGAAGATCCTTATTATGGTCAAACATTGGAACCCTTAATTAAAGGAACCCTGAACTATGGCAGCTTCCCTTAAGTTCCTTAAGAAGAACCCTAAACCCTAAACCCTAAACCCCAAACCCTAAACCCAGGATCGGGCGAGTCTTCTCCTGGGAGGGCCTGCAGCAGCTGAAGGCACAGCTGCCACTGGCCCGCTTTCCTAGTTCATGGTTGGGGTAGTATTAAAAATCTAAATTTATATTCCTTATTGGGTTTAAGTACCCTTAAAAATGTAAAATGTTACCCAACTATGACAAAGTTTCTGGAAAGAAGAGAGTGCTACCCTGTAGCTCACGGAGTTAGGCGTAACGTCAGCTTCAGACATCTCTTGGAAAATCTTCAGGGCGAACTGCCACAGGGATCTCTTCTCCAAGGAGCTCAGAGCCGCGCTGTAGCTGACGACAGTTGGTGACAGCCGGGATTGCGGCATCGCCGCAAGAAGTCGTAAGGCCAACTCCCAGGGTCCCCCCTTCTCACAGGCGCTGATGGCTGCGTTGTAGCTGATGCCTCACTAGTCCATGGGGGGAACTAAGGGTCAACCTTTAGGAGTATGTGGGGATTGTAGTACCCAAATGGCTTAATTAACAAAGAGTTATTTACTCAACTGCCAAGATGCTGTTTGGCGGCACACCTTCATGGGGCATCTCATTCAGAAGCCGGAGGGCGAGCATCCAACGGGTGGCCTTCTCACAGCAGCTGATGGCAGCGCTGTAGCTGACGACATCAGGGCGGAATCCAGCACTGCTGATTCCATGGAGAAGGCGGAGACCTCGTTGCCAATGTCCGCTCTTTTCGCATGCGCTTATGGTCGTGTTGTAGCTGATGAGGTCTGGGGAAACCTGTGAGGCTGGCATGGAGTCGAAAAGCTCAGAGGCCTTCTGGGACTGTCCGGCTTTCTGCAGGGAGCTTAGGGTGGCATTGTAAGTGATCGTGTCTCGGCTCACACCGGCTGTGGTCATCTCGGCAAAGAGGTGCAATGCCTTCTGCCACTGACCCCCGCGCTCACAGGCGCTGATTGCAGAGTTGTAGATAATGACATCAGGCACCACTTGCAGTTCATACCTGAACCCTCAAAAGTCTACGTCTTTGAGGAACCATCTGAGGAAATCATAATAAGGAGCCCGAAAAAAAGTCTAGGTCTCGGTGTTCTAGGGTCCGGGGTACTGGCTGTGAAAAACCCGCAGAGCCAGCTGCCATCGGCTGCTTCGCTCGCAAGCGTTGAGAGCCGCACTCAGCGTGACGACATTCGGAGTCACCTTGGCTCCCACATATGTTTCGATCTTTGCTCAGGGCCGTTTGCTGTGCGCTGCAGTGTAGAGGCCGCGGTTTAGGGTATGAGGTTTGGGGCTTAGGGGCTCAAGGTTTGCGCCAGCCCTAAGCAGCAAAATGATATTCGGGCTCCTATTCTGCTTTTCACGGTTCATATGTATATATATATATACATATATATATATATATCTTTATTTATTTATTTATACATCCAAGAACCAACAGGATTCCTCGTGTGTTTCTATCTTTGCAAGTGAACCCCTGACTAAAGAACAAGCGCACTAAAACCCTAAAGAGTTTAGGGTTCAGGGTTTACGGTAGCTACCTTATACCCCAAAGCCCCAAACCCGAAACCTAAAACCTTAAACCCTAAACCCAAGGGCACCACTGGGGGAGCCTGGTCACACCAACTTTCCCCGCGGACCAGAGCAGTGACAAAGCCTGTGCCCAGCGTTGCCCAGAGGCGCAGGCACTCACCTAATGTCGGGGCCTTACTAAATTTAATAGGGGTTTGGGGTATATTTATACCATAAAAGCAATAAGGAACCCACAAAAATAGTATAGTTAATTATTAGGGCCCCTATACTGCGCCGGTCCGAAAGTTCGTCGCACTCTATGTTGTTCATTTACAACAAACCTATCCAAACCCCCTTTCCCCCCTAGACTCCTCCACAAGGCCTCCGCCCTGAACAATTATAATACTATAATT